GACCAAGGCAGATTCAGTACCGTACCCGGGTCTGAAGCCGGACTGAAATGGGTCCAGATAATCAGTTTCATCCAAGAGTACCTGGAGTTGTCCCGCCACCACCCGTTCCAACACCTTGCCCAAAAATGGGATGTTGGCCACCGCTCTATAATTGGCAGCCACCTCTGGATCCAGAGACTCCTTCTTTAGGACAGGCCTGATTACCGTCTCCTTTAAAGGAGCGGGCACCTGGCTGTCCCTCTGAGAGGCATTAATAACCTCCAGGATCCAGGCATCAATCCCGTGTTTGGCTTTGGTCAGCAGCCACGAAGGGCAAGGGTCGAGTAAGCAGGTGGTAGGACGTACTTGTCCAAGCACCTTGTCCACATCATCAGGCCGCATTAACTGAAATTCATCCATTAATACCTGACCAGATGGAGTCATTGGCATCTCCCCCTCCTTGTACTCTTCCAGCTTGGTCTGGCTTGTAAGATGATGAGCAAACCAAAGTATCAATGTAAAGATATATTTTATTCCTAAAGCAACTCCAGATTGCAACATTTCCTAAAAAGTAAACAGTGTGTCTCCTGCCAACCATTTTTCTTTTTAAAATGATGAGAAAGGTTTTCTTCTGATGGTCTCAACATGTTCTGCCTCCACAACTTCTTAGAATTCTTTGAAAGCGTTAATAAACAAATATTTGGATTAGGATAGTCTGATAGCCAGTGTGGTGAGAGCCAGGGTGGTGTAGTGGTTAAGAGCGTGGGACTGGGACTCAGACGGCCTGGGTTCTAGTCCCAGCTCAGCCATGGAGCCAACCGGGTGACTTCGGGCCAGTCACAGACTCTCAGCCCAACCTACCTCACAGGGTTGTTGTTGTGGGGATAAGATGGAGGAGGAGAATGATGTAAGCTGCCTTGAGCCCTTTGTAGGAAAAAGGCAGGATATAAATCGGAAAATAAATAAATAAATAGACATTATATACTTGAATTTTTAAAAAGTGATTGTTACACTTCCTAACCATGAACTCCTCAGGAAATTCATGGACTAAGAGAAGGGGTCTTTTTAGAAGCAGAATGATGGAGAGTTTTCAAAATTAGAAACAGAGAAACAGAGCGGGGCAGAAGGGGTCTCCCAGGTCATCTAGTCTGACCCCCAGCTCCAGCCAGCTAAGCTCATGACATGCTTACCATGTGCATGTCCAGCCTATCCTTGATCATTAAGAGCAGCAAACATCAGGCTGGCTCAAGGACCAGTCCTATTTAATGTTTGCATACTTATCAGATTTTAGTTAAGAGCAGAGAGGTAGCAAATGACACCAGAATGTTCATGATGCTAAAAGCCAAGTCACTTACAAAGAACTCTGGAAGGATTTGTTCAGATTTCTGGACCCAAACCAGAAAACTAGCAAATAAAATACTGAATTGAGGACTAAGGTCTGAAAAGATGAGATATTAATTTAACACATAAATAAATACATCTTCAAGGTAAAAAAATCTTTATCTATACACCAACACATTTGTGGTGAACACAGGATTCAGTGAAAACTTGAACTCTGTGCAGTGGCATGGAAGAGGCAAATTTCTTATAGCAGATTAGCAGAGAAAAAAAGGAATGAAATAAGCCAGCCGTTAATATATGTACAAACAGCATTATGGTTACTGTTGGAATACTGTGTCCAATTCTGGTTGATCAGTCTCTAAAAAGTTTATCATCAAATTGGAAAAGATACCTCTTTTGAGGGGAAAAAACCAAGAGAAAAGAAATGTCAATAACATCTTCTATATATTTGTTCGCTGTCCGGTGAGAAGAGATTATGGTGGTGACAATAATAATGTAATTCTTATTTGAATCTGTGGGCTGGATTTAGACTTAGGCATACTTAGATAAATTGAACTTAATGAGAAAAATTAATCATTACCAGCTTACGTTTCATTGATTGGTCTATTCTAATTATGTCTAAGCCTAGATCCAACCCTTTTAAATCACTGGGGCTTAAAAGGTCTCTGGCTCCGTCCCTGCATTTTTAGTTTGTTTAAGGGTTAAGGAGAGTACACAGAGAGGGAAATGAAAATATCAGTTTTGCGGACTAGCCAAGCTGATAGATTTCTAGACACAGCTCGAGTGCAAACGCACACAACCGTTAGGGGTTTCTTTCAAACACTCCAAAGGCATTCGCAAGATAACTCAACTCATAAAGAATGGGTGACAGCTTCCGAAATCAGATGTACTGGAACGACAAAGCTGCCCAACTACTTCTTCGGAAAGGAAAGCTGTTAGCTGCAGCCTTGCAGTTCAAGCTTAATTTTCGGGACTTATCTTAGGTAGGACTCGGGTCTTAGCAGATAACGAATAACTAATTGTGATCAGAGCATTTCTCCAAACCTAGCAACCCATTCAGCAGCTTATTATGCCAATAAATCACTTGATGATAAGAAGAGCTGCCCTGGTAAGGTTTGGCTGAAAAAGAATCAATAGATGTTACTATTACGAGCTCAAATTACAATAGAAATCAGTGAGACCCGTGTGGAAATAAATCAAACAGTTAGGATGAATAGGCAGTAATTTTTCTGATTAACAAATGTTTTGCTTGTCATGGGCCTTAAGAGCTGCTCTTAGCCTTTTAAAGGGCTGAAACAGGTTTTAGAAAGTATGTATTTACCCTGGAGAGTTAAGCACACACACACACCCTTGCAGTTCTTTCTATTTGAAGGCATACATGCTTACCAAATGGGATATTGTCTTGAAATGTCTTTTGTGCTGGGTGTTTAAAGCAGCATGCATACAAAACAACCAGTTAAAAAAAAAACCTGGAAGGAATCTCAAAAAGTTGCTATGGAAATGTATCCAAAACAAGAAATTATGCATCTCACTTCCTTACTCAAACTCAAAATTATAGAAATATTTTACTTCTTGTTTCTGAACATTTTACTTCAGAAAAACCTTGACTGCACTCCAAAGCAGATTTTGCGTCGATTTATACCTCAGCAGAAGCAAGTGGCAAGACTCTTCCTGGACTTTACCAGGTCTGAGGTGTGAGTGAGGATACCTTCGTCATGGCATCATTGCACATCAGGGAGAGAATTCAACTTCCCTTCCGTCCTGTATCGTTTTTGTCTCTGCACATGGCACGGGTTTCTTCACGGGGAACTATGACAAACCCACAATCTGCTATCTGTAGCCCAAGTTTCTGCAGTCCAGGAAAGACTGTACCACTTTATCCAACTGATCAGTTTGGGCCCTGTTGGGAAATGAAACCCCTATAACCAATGCGATTAACTTTGGAATAAGTAGGGTAGGAAGGGAAGTGGATTAACTGCAGAGGGGAGGAGAGATAAAGTGTACTCGAAAATGAGCAGTGGTTTCCTGTAAGAATAGTTAATGCAAATTTGACAGGTCAGCCACTCTTCCCAACTAAAAGGAATGACTAATTCACAAATGCATGCTAAAAGGTGTACTATATCCTGAAATGATACAATCACTGTAGAATTACAGGCAAGTGTCAACATGAAACTGTGTAAACATCTATGTTCCAACCCTGAAGTAGTTATTCCTCATTTGACCCTTAAAATGGAATTACAAAGGCCAGTGAAAGAGGCTCGTAAAGACTTTTGTTTGTGAGGCTGCCATCCACCACCAGGAACCAAAAGTTCCTGGTGAGAGACGTGGGGACGCACATCTGGCTGCCCCAGTAGCTATTTCCTTTGCGATCAGCCATAGTCCAGAGAATCAGAAACCAAGTAGCAGCTGGAACACCTGCGCTCAGAGGGAAGCCTTGTTTATGCACTTGCCCCTCTCTAGCAGCTCTTGCCTAAGCTGTCGTATCATAAATGCACTGTGAGCTGCCTCAAGAATTTTGGTAAGTAGCTAAGAGACAAATATTCCAGGTGGACAAAGGCAGCGTGGCTTTCTTGCGATCTGGAGATTCACTGCCTTTCCCCCAGTGCCATTCTTTTCGGGTTTAATCCTACGTTTCAAACTTTGCAAAGTAAGGCATATCCCAAGTTGCTCCAGTGCTGAATGCTGGCGGATAGCTGGAGCCTGCTCATTCGAATCACGGTTATTCAAGAACTTGGTCCTAGAAGAACAAAAAATGTTCCTCTAGAAATTGGCTGTTTATTCATCTCAAACATCTAAACATCTATCTAAACACAAAGCCGTTTCTTATTTTGTGAGTACTCAGTTTTAACATGCAGTACTAAATTTTTACATGGGCATCACCACCACCATCCCCAGAAACAACTCAGCTTTTAGCAATCCCTCTAAAGATATCTGCCTGTGCAGACATTCACCCATTTGTATGTAGGGCTAAAGTGTGTGTGTGTGTGTGTGTGTGTGTGTGTGTAGCGGAGTAGAAAGCCTCTGAAGGGCTCTGTAAGTGTGCTGAGCTGAATGCTCTGCAAAGGATGCGTTGATCAGGGGCCCTGATCAGGCGGGGGTTCCCATGCACACCTGTGTCCCCGGCACTGTTTCACGCTACCTGCAAGCAGACAAACAGCTGCACAGAGCTACAGTGAGCCTGCTAAAACGTAAGAACCTGGAGCCATTCAAGACTGGGAAAGCTCTCCTTTCATTCGGAAGCGTTTGACTTGAGTCACTGAATTGGAAAGGTTGGCCAAGGGCAGCCCAAGGTATTTTGCAATCCTAAGTGTTTGTGCTTTGTTACCAAAGGGATGCAGCTATCGGGGATCAGGCAGATGGATATAGATGCCGTCAGCCTTTCATGAACAAGTGTCTTCTTGATTCGCTGGACTGCAGCATGAATCATTCCCAGCCAGTTGCCCAACGTGCGGACGGGGAAGTCTGATGGGAACCGTTCTTCACACAACCGGGACATGGAGCATTCATCACTTTCAATGTAAGTTCCAGAACGTTAAAATGAGCACCAGCAATGAAGGGCAGCTGATGCAGAATGGGTATTGTATGCCTCCCCAGCACTCAGCCCCTACAAGCAGCTGGCCACGTGCTCTCTGCATCAGCTGAACCATCTTCAAGGGCATCTCCGTTACAGTAGTCTAATCTGGGTGTATGAAGACACGAATGCTTGCAGGCAGATCTGCCTTCTCCAGATAAATCAGCCAACAGTGGGCAAATCAGTCGACGCTAGTGAAAGGCAAGACTGGGTGGTCTTACTTGCATCCCACAGATAGCTCTGAGTCCAGGAGAACCCCCAAACTGTACACCTGAAGGGGAGCACAGCTGTATCCAGTTCTGATCACACACCTTCATCCAGATCTACAGATTTCTCCCTCTTGAGTAGTGCCATCTTTTCTGAATTAAGCTTAAGTTTGTTGAGCCAAAGCTCTTTGGGCAGGCATGGTCACGGCCCATCCAAGGGATTCACACCCCGACATAACATGAGATATTGGAAGAAATTTTGGGATGCACCTTTCCGAGCACACACTGCTTCATCGCTGGCCCAAGCAAAGGCTGGGCAGTCATCAGTACCTGTATGATCCACCTGCGAGTGTGGCAAGTACAAGCACAACTGCCACGCAAGACAATTTACAGATGTTGCAAAAGATTTAATGCAGAGTTGCAACAGACAACCTGTTGCACCCTGAACCCCTCCAAAAGGATGTGCAACTCGAAGACATGTTTTTAAAATGCCAGTTACCCTGTCCTTTGGTTTGGCTGCTTTTAAGAGGCAAAATCTCTTTCTCCTTACCATAGTCCTGCCAAAAAATTCCTCCCCGAAGATGCTGTTGGTGCCAATACACTCTTTCATTGCAGTGTAAATAGCACCTGGAGAAGACCAGTTCTTTGGCAGAGAGAGGAAGAGTCCATTTCAGCGATGCTGTTCTGAGCCTTGTTTACACCTGCTGTTTACAGGACGTGACACCACACATTAACCCCGTTCCACATCTAGTCTGGTCCTGCTGGGAAGCACGAAGACAGGAGAGGAGGAAAAGTAGTTTCTTTTCTGCTCCTTTTACAAGATCCACCTGGGTGCAAGTGTCCAAGTGAACAGTGCTGACCGGGTGTCCTACAACCATTTTGGGAGGCATCCCTGGCCAGAGGCCATGCCAGAAGGGGCTGGTGGGAATCAGAGTTAAGCACACTGGGGAGGACCAGCTTGGGGAAGGGTTTTTAGGGCATGGAAAGTATGCTACACATTCAGAGAGAGAGGCTAGAGGAGGTGTGATTTGCAAGAATTGGACAACGGTTGAGACGTGGATGATTATGCCTTGGATCAGGATATAAAATCAAACAAATTCTCCAGGTGAACAGCAACATGCAATTTTACTAATGCTGTATCTGTGACCCAAGGCTCCTGATTAACCTGAATTTTGATGATCAGTCTAGAAAATGCTCTCAGACCAAGGGCAGATTTGTGCTGGAGCCACTTTTTAAAATCATTGCAAGCAATGATCAGCACCTCTTCCCAACTGTGAAATGTTCCCAACATTGTTACTAAGATTGCTGCTACTAATAGTAGTAATGGCAACATAGCGTGGAGCTGGAAGTTGTTAATGGCAAAAAGTTGACTTGTTTCTTAGCACATAACAAAAGCAGACATATAGAAACCATATTGTCCTCCGGCCAGAGTTAAAGCAAATATCACATGTTTGCCTTTATATGCATATATATAGAAAGACCAATGATGTGTTGTGGGCAAAAGAAGTTCACCTCAAGCCAGAAGTTCATGTTGGAGACAGTAAATAGTTAAAAAGAAATCTTGCTTACTTACTAATGATTAATAATGAACGTTAGCAAAGACAGGATTGAAAGAGCAAGCTCACCTGTTCAAATGCAGCTTTGTAGTCACTCTTTGGTACAGTATTCAATGCTTGTCATGTGTCAAAATACCTATCAAGAAATACAGCTTAACATTTTGCAGGAGGAAGTCTATTTCTATGTACTGTTTCTAAGGCCCCTAAAGTTTCTTTGAGGGTTTTTGTTTGTTTTTAGTCACAAGAAAAGATCAAACAGGCATGCTGGTATTTCCCCCCAATGCACAGCTATTCATGTGTCCACATGCTTAACATTATGCTTTAAAAAGCGGGATGCCAGTAACTGAATTAAGTGGAAACATCCAGTTCTTTTAGGGAAGGCTAAGTGGAGGCATTGGCCTGAAAGAACGAATGAAATTAGCATGAGCGGATGATCCCCATGTGCTTGTGCCACATTTTCTTCCAGGTGCAATTTTTTCATGCAGGTGGGGGACCGCAGGTTTGCTCTAGGGAGAAGAACTTCCACGCACATTGAGTACTATTTTGTCAGGCTGAAGGCAAGCCCAGAGCCCTTCCACTGGCATCTGCCTTTCTGTGTGAAATGACGTCTGTAATGCAGCAAGGAGCCCTCCGTCCTGTGAACGCGCCCGGAAAGCTCAGTAAGAACCTGGTCTTGGAGGATGGCTCAGCTCGGAAAGAAGACCAAAAACCGGCATGGTGTCGTGCGAATGAGCTCTCTGCCGATCATGCCTGTTCCTCAGCAGATGCGGGTTAGTCTCCCAGAAGGCAAATCAACATGAGAAGGATAAGCAGAACATTTTCAAACCAGCGGCCCAACAGCTAGATACAAGGATGCACCTGCGAAGGAGCTGAAAATATTTTGGTTGGATGCAGGTCAGCTTCTTGAGTGAGGAAGGGGCCTTTACCAAAAAGAAGGGCTCCACTCACACACAGTCCCCTTGCTGATTTTGGGGGATCTCCCACACCCCACAGGGTCTCCCAACTCGCCGTGTTGCATTTTTATGGATGCTGTCACAGAAGGGAAGAGGAAGGCTGCATCCATCTAGTATAAGCCTGGATCCAGCTCCATTCAAACCAGACAGTTCAGCCTGTACTTTCCCTTTATTGTCTCTCTCTTCTGTTTTTGCTGCCTTCGGCAGGCTTGAATCAACACCTGAACCAAGCACTGGCCATTTGCTGGGAAAGCCCGTGCATTCGCCAAACAGGCGGGCCAGCGCGCTGTAATTTCATACACTGATTGGAGTACAAACAAGCAATAGAGGCTCTTTGGCCTAATGCCTTTGTTTCTTCTGTTTACCAACACAGTCCCAGAGTCAACAGAAACATGACCCTTCATTAGCTTGTCTCAGACTGGCTGCCATAAAAAGGAGAGAGAGAGAGAGAGAGAGGCTAAGGGGTGTTGGAAATGGAAATAACTGGAGAGGAAAGATCAAATCCTCCTAAAAGAGGTTTATGCAAAGCACAGGCTTCTGGATGTTGCAGAATCAGTTTGTAGCCATTACACGGAGAGGGGAATTAAAGAAAGGAAATGCTGTTCCAAGAGCCCATGCAGCAAATGACCACAGCTGGAAGAGCCTGCAATGGGTGGCATGTGATCTGTATCTTTTGTGCAGGGATAGCATGTGATTTCCCACCCTCTTCCAGCAAGCAGGCAGGCAGCAAGCAAGCAGGCAGGCAAACCAATGAGAAACAGTGTCTGCAGGCAAAGCACCAATCACCTTCCCTGTTCTCTGTTTTGGAACTCTGTAACATGAACTCCCAAACAAGATGAGAATAGATTTAGTAGTGGCAGATCTGTTCGTTGCTGCTAACTTATATACCTTTGTTGATGCTTTCTTAGGGAACAAATGGTAGAATGGAGACACAGTCATGGCCTTTCTTTCTTTCTTTCTTTCTTTCTTTCTTTCACTGCACAATAGTTGGAACTCTCTGAGTGGTTTGCAACCACATGTAACATACAATATAAAATCTAATCAACATTAAAATGTCATTAAAAGGTCATCATACAAAGTTTAGAACCAAATGCATATAAAAAGTTACACAAGCCTGTATAAATTAATTAGACAACCTGTTTATGAAGCTAACAAAGTCCCAATTAACTAATTAAAACAATGGAGGACAGTCATAACCTCGTGCTGAAAGGATGCTCAAGTTGAGGACAGGTGGACCTTCGTGGGGAGGTCATTATGTAACTGGAAAAAGCAGGTATGCAGGGTTACGGGGGGGGGGGAAGGTTGAGTTTGGTTCAGCTGGTAATGGCGCCATATTTAAAATCTGCAGTTTATATCATTAACTAGAATGCTGGCTTGTGCTAGCCTGGCTGCTTTTCCAAACCTGGTGCCCACATATATGTTGGCACACAATTCCCATAATTTCCAGTGGAACTGCACTTTCTATAGTGAGGCCAGAGAATCTGAGAAGTCATTGCCCTGCGTTCCCAATAGTGCCAGCCAATGTAGCCAATGCTTAATCCCATATCCAGTGCTGTAATCCCAGAGTGTCTGGCATGCCACACATTCCCCAGGCCTGGCCAACACCGACTGGCACCAGCAAACTTGGGTTCTCTCTGGGTTGAACCTGGGAACATTCTGCTTGCAACACTCTGCAACATAAAAAAGCTGTAGCTACATAGATTGGACCATATTAATTTCAATGTGTGCATATGAAGAGAGAGAGAGAGAGAGAGAGAGAGAGAGAGAGAGAGAGAGAGGGAGAGAGAGAGAGAGAGAGAGAGGGAGAGAGAGAGGGAGAGAGAATAGATAATACTGATTCCTATACAGTAATAGCAGACTGAATCTGACTATGGTAGGCATGTCATGAGTGGAGCTGGCTGGAACTGGGGGTCAGACTGGCTGGAGCTGGGGGTCAGACTGGCTGGAGCTGGGGGTCAGAGTCCCCTTCTGACTCGCTCTGTTTCTATGCTTCTATAAGTACCTCTTTGCAGGTTGCATCAAAACACCACCAGTGCAAATGCCAAAAGCACAGTTAGGTCCTCAATCCCTTGTATGTTAGTGATTATCTTTCCAATCAACTTTTAGCTCACAGCCTATGGTTTGACCACAGACAAACGTTCTGCAAATATGTCCGTACACTTAGTGGCTGTTGTGAGATCATCCCATTGGACCAGGCTGACATGGGAGACTCTTGGCCCTGAACGTTCTTCATTTAGCAGATGCTGGACCACAGCCTCGTAGGATGCTCCAGACAGAAGGATTTCCCCCCCTCCCCATTAAGACACAAACTCCGTCTTCGACTAGACACATTCTGTATTTGAAGGCACCTTTGAACACGAGAGTAAGACTGAGAGAGAAGCCAAACGGCACACAAGCAGCTGTTAGGACAACGGCCAGTCCTACTTCTGGGAAGAGACTAGTGTCATGTGACCGGATTGATACAGAGCTCTGAAAAGATTCTGGAAAGGACCAGCATCAAGTGTCTGTCAGGAAGAAGCCTTGCGCTATGAAGAGACAATGGCTTTTCCAATTTGCACTGCTCTAGTTACTTCTGTTCTAACAGTAAAGCAATGGAAACTCCACTGACCAAAAGAAAAATTCCAGAAACACTTTTCTGAAATATCTTTATTCAGCCTTCCCAAAGTTCTTTTGTTTGGTCTAATCAAGGTATTAGAGCATTATGGATTCTGAAACTGATGCCTGACTGCTTTGGGCAGGGCTTGACCAGGCACATGTCAGCTCTCCTAAGGAAGTAAACCAGGCTAAACTGAAAATTCATTCATAACAGTTGCTCCACACACAATGCATTTTCTTTTGGTGCACATACCATTTCAAAGTGCAGAAAGAGAGATCTCATCTTTGACTTCTCCCTCACCACAGGAAAGTATCTCAGGAAACTAGTGTGATGGGTAGGATTCTAGTTTTGTTTTCTCCCTGTAAGTCAAGTTACCAATGTGTGAGGATATTTTTGTTTTGACAGGGACAGGAAGTCCAATTCCCGCTATTGCCTGAAAAGAGATACGCCAAGAAAAGTCATGCAATGCAGTTCTGTGTGTTCCAGATACTCACAGTAGCAAAGGCAGAGGATCCAAGCAATCATATACATCACAGTGCTTGAGTCATCTTCTCATATTCTTCTAATTGGAATTATATTCAATTAAGTTAGCATTTCCCCTAAACCCACTCCTTAAACCATAAATGTTGGTAATGCAGTAGAGACATGAGACCATAATTAGAACAGAATATGATTCCTATATGCCTAGAAGCACCCCCCCCAATGCCTCTCCTGAAGTTCCTCCTCAAGATCCACCCTATACAGAGCACCCTTCTTGTCTAAATTCCCCATCGCAAGAATGCCATGTACACAGAACTGAAACAATCACATTTCCTTTCTCCTCTACCACCTTGTTTCCCTGTTGCCTCTTTTAGACCTGGGGCTCCTTGGGATAGAGACCTGTCACACCTGTTGTCTGTAAAATATTAATATTATTAACAGTAATTACAATAATCACATTTAACCATGAGTTGGTCAGTGTGCCGCTTGAGCGCACTTGTGGCCTTTGAAACAGTTTGGGAACAGAATCAAGTAACAGAGGGGAAACGGATCAATTTGAGAAAAACTTTGTTTCTATGCAAGAGAGTTGGGTTAGTAGAAAGTGCATGATATAACAAGGGATATATACTCTTCTGGCCATGCTGACTTCTTGCTTTTCTAAGATCACGCCTTTCACCTATTATTTCAAAGGTCCCCAAGGTTACAACAAGGAGACC